GGTGGTTTCCCCAGGGAGGAGGCTATGACCATCCCAGCCCCCTAGAGTTGCTTGGAAGCTGCAGTCCTGCCCAGGGAGGGGTGGGGGCAGATCGGGTCCTGCCACGTTTCCAGGCACGGCAGTGCCCTGGCCGCTCATGGGGGGCGTGTTGGAGCCAGACGCCGTGTGGGCGCGAGATCTCCGTACTGGGGGCTCCGGATCCCACCGCTGTCCCTCAGCACCAGGCTGGGCGAGGCGCTAACTGGGGCACTTTCCTTCCTCTTCCAGGGTCGTTGGGACGGAGGAGCGAATCCCCATCCCCCTCATGGACTATATCCTCAACGTGGTGAGTTGGGCAGGGTTGGGGGGGCGTGGGGCCCCTCGCCGGCTGGGCGAGATCCCCCCACTGGCCTGTTAGTGTCCGGGGGCAGGCTCCCAAACCTGTAGGGCCTCCGAGTCTCGTGATGGGGCCAGCACCTATGCCACGCTCCAGGGAGCAGCTGGGACAGGGGTGCAAAATCACAGGGCTAACCCCCCCTCCCCCGTCCATCTGTGCAAGAGACCTTTCCCCACCTTGGGGGGCCCCAAAATCTCCAGTGCCCTTCGGTCCCCTCCCCTTCTAATTCGCCTCTCGGCTGAGCCCGACGGAGTGGGGTGGGAAGAGCGGGGAGGGGGGGTTGACTGCGTCCCAGGCTGACGGGCCGGGGAGATCGGGGGGCCGGTGACTGTGCCCCAGGCTGACCCCCTCTTCCCCCCGCCCCAGATGAAATTCGTGGAATCCATCCTCAGCAACAACACCACGGACGACCACTGTCAGGAGTTCGTGAGCCAGAAGGGGCTGCTGCCTCTGGTCACCATCCTGGGCCTGCCCAACCTGCCCATTGACTTCCCCACCTCGGCCGCCTGCCAGGCTGTGGCGGGCGTCTGCAAATCTATCCTGGTAAGGGGGGGGCTGCCTGGGGCTGGCAGGTGCTGGGCTGTTGGGGCTGGGACGGGGGGGGGGAGACAGCAGGTGGGAATGGGTCTGCCCCCCATTTCTGAAATCGCTCTCCTGGGGCTCAGTGAGTACTTGGCACCCCAGATCCTTTCCAGCAGGGACGTGGTCCTGCGGAACTCCCTGCCCCCGGGAAGTGAAGCTGAGCTCTTGAGGGGAATTCCCCGTGGATGCCGGCACCCTGCGGGGCTTGGACAGGAATGGATGTGGGACCACAGCCCTCCGTGCTTCGAGGGGTGCCATGGGCACCCCGGCTCCCATGATGCATCTGGTTCAGCAGAATCTTCATTTGCCCTCAGGGTGGGCAAAGGGCAGCTGGCAGCAACGCGTGGCACCTTGCGTCTCCCACCCCGGCTAGCCGGAGCTGGGTCTGGGGGCGCTGGGGGAAAAGGGGCAGGAAGAGGCCCAGGTCCCGGGGTGGGGGTCCCCTGAGGTGACCGTGTGTCAGGCCGGACTCACCCTGCCGCCTCTGTTCCAGACGCTCTCCCATGAGCCCAAGGTGCTGCAGGAGGGGCTGCTGCAGCTTGACTCGATCCTCTCTTCCCTGGAGCCCCTGCACCGGCCCATCGAGGCGCCGGGCGGCTCCGTGCTGCTGCGGGAGCTGGCCTGCGCGGGCAACGTAGCTGACGCCACCCTGTCGGCCCAGGCCACGCCGCTGCTCCACGCGCTGACGGCCGCCCACGCCTACATCATGATGTTCGTCCACACCTGCCGGGTGGGCCAGGTGAGCCGGCGGGCGGGCGGCTGGGGGCGGCGGGGCCCACCTGGGCCGGGCGGCGGGCTGAGTCTGTAACGAGAGCTCTGTCTCTTGCAGAGCGAGATCCGGGCCATCTCGGTGAACCAGTGGGGCTCCCACCTGGGCCTCAGCGTTCTCAGCAAGCTAAGCCAGCTCTACTGCTCCCTGGTGTGGGAGAGCACCGTGCTGCTGTCCCTCTGCACTCCCAACAGGTACGCTGCGCCGGCCGGGCCGCACGAGCTCGGAGAGCCCTGCCTGCCGAGCGGGCTCGGACGCTGCCCCGGCCGGGCCGCACGAGCTCGGAGAGCCCTGCCTGCCGAGCGGGCTCAGACGCTGCCCCGGCCGGGCCGCACGAGCTCGGAGAGCCCTGCCTGCCGAGCGGGCTCGGACGCCGCCCCGGCCGGGCCGCACGAGCTCGGAGAGCCCTGCCTGCCGAGCGGGCTCGGACGCCGCGCCGGCCGGGCCGCACGAGCTCGGAGAGCTGTGTCTGCCGAGCGGGCTCGGACGCCGCCCCGGCCGGGCCGCACGAGCTCGGAGAGCCCTGCCTGCCGAGCGGGCTCGGACGCTGCCCCGGCCGGGCCGCACGAGCTCGGAGAGCCGTGTCTGCTGAGCGGGCTCATCCCCTGCTCCCAGATGCATGGCCACCCCAGGGAGCCAAGAGCAAAGGGCAACTGCGGCTGTCGGGCTAGACACAAAGGGGTGGGGGTAACGGGGTCCTGGCTGGGGCTAGGGGTCTAATCCAGATGTGGGGGGAGGTGCCAGGCCAGGTGGGCCCATGGGTCAGATCCGGCTGCGGGGGGTACCGGGCCGGGTGGGCCCATGGGTCAGATCCGGCTGCGGGGGGTACCGGGCTGCGTGGGCCCATGGGTCAGATCCGGCTGCGGGGGGTACCGGGCCGGGTGGGCCCATGGGTCAGATCCGGCTGCGGGGGGTACCGGGCCGGGTGGGCCCATGGGTCAGATCTGGGGGCAGGGAGGAGATACCGGGCCGGGTGGGCCCACGGGTTGAATCCGGCTGCGGAGTGGGGTGGGGTACCGGGCTGGATGGGCCCACGGGTCGGATCCGGCTGCAGGGGGGTACCACCGGGCCGGGTGGGCCCACGGGTCAGATCTGGGGGCAGGGAGGGGGTACCGGGCCGGGGGGGTTCAGGGGTCGGATATAGCTGCGAGGGGGGGGCGGGGTGCCAGGCCAGGTGGGCCCACAGGCCTGACGCCCCCTTGTCCCTGTTCACAGCTTGCCGACAGGCTGTGAGTTCGGCCAGGCCGACATGCAGAAGCTGGTGCCCAAGGAGGAGAAGGCCGCACCCAACGCCCCCCAGGGAGCCAAGAAAGCAGGTACAGACTCTGGGACAGGGCGCCGGCGGTGGGTTCACCTCAGCTCCTCCACATGCAGGTTCCTGGGCCTGGCTCTGGGAGGGCAGTGGGGCCTAGTGGTTAGAGCGGGGCCGGGGGAGCAGGGATCCTGGCATGAACAGCTGGAGCGAGGTCTTGTGGGGACTGGGTCAGTGTCTGGGGGGCTCCTGGTTGGTCCAGGGCTCGAGCCCCCCAGCACTAATTCCCCCCCCCCCCCAGAAGGTGAAGCGGAGGCGGTTGCGGGCGGGAGTGTGGAGCCATCGGCCCAGGGGCTGCTGGAGGGGATTGGCCTGGATGGAGACGCGCTGGCCCCCATGGAGACGGACGAGCCCAGCACTGCCGACGCCAAGGGCAAGGCCAAGATCACACCAGCCATGGCGGCCAGGATCAAGCAGATCAAACCCCTCCTTTCGGGTGAGCGATGCGGAGGGCACTGGGACGCCTGGGTTCTCTCCCCGGCTCTGGGAGGGGAGTGGGGTTTAGGGGTTAGAGCAGGGGGGCTGGGAGCCAGGACTCCTGGGTTCTCTCCCCGGCTCTGGGAGTGGGGTGGGGTTTAGGGGTTAGAGCAGGGGGGCTGGGAGCCAGGACTCCTGGGTTCTCTCCCCGGCTCTGGGAGTGAGGTGGCAGTGGCTGGGAGCTTGGGACATCTGGGTTCTCTCCCCAGCTCTAGGGGGGAGGGACAGCAAATCCTACGTGCCAGGGGGGTGCTCGGCTTGTAATGCCTGGTGTTGGCTGCCCGCTCACCTCCACCCCATGCCCCCCATAGCCTCGTCCCGTCTGGGCCGCGCTCTGGCCGAGCTGTTTGGGCTGCTGGTGAAACTGTGCGTGGGCTCCCCGGTGCGCCAGAGACGGAGCCACCATGCTGCCAGCACCACCACCGCCCCCACGCCGGCCGCCCGCTCCACTGCCTCGGCCCTCACCAAGCTGCTGACCAAGGGGCTCTCCTGGCAGCCCCCGCCCTACACCCCCACGCCCCGCTTCCGGTGAGTGTGAAAAGCAGAAGGTTTTGTCTCCCCACGTGCTGGGAGGTTGGGGCTCCATCCAGCCTGGCACCCCTCCCCCTTAGTTCAGTGTCCTTCAGATATTCACTGGTGAGGGGAGGTGGAGGCCACTGGTCACCCCCAGCTGGGGTACAGGCGACAAGCCGGCTCTTGTGGGCGTGAGGTGTGAGGCTATGTCTGATGGCTGGGCATTACGCAGAATTACAGCCTGTTTCAGTAAGAATCTTACAACATGTAGCGTTACTGCACCAGTTTCACCGGGACAATGATGTTCAGCAGATTATGACTTTTTGATTAACACCTCACAAGTTCATAAAGTGATGAACATAATGGTATAGACTGTCATGGGTGTGTGTTGGGGCTGGGGTCTGATCCCTTGGGGAGCGCGTGGGTGGGGGGGCTGGGGGGGGGTGACGGTTCTGGTCTGCCAGGTGGAAGTTGGGGGTTGGCCTAGGCCTGGCCAGTTTTTCTGGCCCCTGGGGGCGTCTTGGGCTCCCCAACGCGGGGCTGACCTCTCTCCCCACCCCCCGCAGGCTGACATTCTTCATCTGCTCCGTGGGGTTCACGTCGCCCATGCTGTTCGACGAGCGCAAGTATCCCTACCACCTCATGCTGCAGAAATTCCTCTGCTCCGGCGGCCACAATGCCCTCTTCGAGTGAGTGCCCCGGGCAGCCAGCCCCCGGGCTCCTGTCCCTGGTGCCGGAGGGAGTGGGGCTAGGGGTTGGAGCAGGGGCACTGGGAGCCAAGATGACTGGGTTCTGGTCCCCCGGTACTGAGCAGGGAGTGGGGTCTAGTGGTCAGAGCAGGGGGGCAGGGAGCCAGGACTCCTGGGTTTTCTCTCCAGCTCTGGGAGGGGAGTGGGGCTAGTGGTTGGAGCAGGGGCCCTGGAATGATGGGTGATTAGAGCAGGGGGGCAGGGAGCCAGGACTCCTGGGTTTTGCTCCCCTGAGTGTGGGGGGATCCCAGCCTGGAACAGAAGCAGAGGCCAGCAGACCATTAACCTGCCCTTACCCACAGGACCTTCAACTGGGCCCTCTCCATGGGGGGCAAGGTCCCCGTGGCCGAGGGGCTGGAGCACCCGGACCTGCCGGACGGGACGGGGGAGTTCCTGGACGCCTGGCTCATGCTGGTGGAGAAGATGGTGAACCCCAGCACGGTGCTGGAATCTCCCCACGCTCTTCCCGCCAAGCTGCCGGGAGGGCAGAACTACCCGCAGTTCAGCGCCCTGCGCTTCCTGGTGGTGACCCAGAAGGTGGGTGCCGAGGCCGGTTGGCGCCGTCCGGGCTGCAGCGATGTGACTGGCCCTGGGTGCAACTGCCACAGCCTGGGCCGGTGGCTCGCAGAGCACGGAGACAGTGGGGTGTTGTGTGTCGTCTCGTCTCTCTACCCCCCCCCCCCCCGCCCATTGCTCAGTCTCTGCAGCTGCATGAGATGGCGCCAGGCCGTATGCCCCAGCTACTGGGGGTGGGCATGTGCGCTGTGGGGCATGGGGGATCCACTGCCATGGAGCCCTGTCAGCCCCACCTAAGAAACAGGCAGGAGAGAGCATGTCAGGTCAGATGCTGTGGCTCTTGGGTGAGGGATGTATAGGGGATCCCACTCTTGCCACCAGCAGTGCTGGCTGGTGTGTGTGTGGTAGGGGGGGATCCCACTGTTAGCACCAGTGGGGATGGGGATCCCACCGCTGGCACCAGCAGAGCTGCCACTAACTCCTCCTGCCCCCCCAGGCGGCATTCACCTGCATCAAGAACCTGTGGAACCGCAAGCCCCTGAAAGTGTACGGGGGGCGCATGGCAGAGTCCATGCTGGCCATCCTGTGCCACATCCTGAGAGGGGAGCCCCTCATCCGCGAGCGCCTGGGCAAGGAGAAGGAGGGGGCACGGGGTGAGGAGGAGGCAGGGCAGGAGGAGGGCGGAGCCCGGCGTGAGCCCCAGGTCAACCAGCAGCAGCTGCAGCAGGTAGGTGGTGATGCCGGCCTGGGAGCCTGGGTTCTATCCTGGGGAGGGAAGTGGGGAGTGGTGGGCGTTGGGAGCCAGGATGCCTGGGTTCTGTGGTGGGTTGGAGTGAGGGGGCTGAGAACGAGGACGCCTGGGTTCTCTCTTGGCTCGGGGAGGGGAGTGGGGAGTGAGGGGCTAGAAGCCAGGATGCCTGGGTTCTCCCCTGGCTCAGTGAGGGGCTGGGAGCCAGGACGCCTGGGTTCTCTCCTGGCTCGGGGAGCGGAGTGGGGAGTGAGGGGCTAGAAGCCAGGATGCCTGGGTTCTCCCCTGGCTCAGTGAGGGGCTGGGAGCCAGGATGCCTGGGTTCTCT